AATGATATACCAATCATTTTCTTTATTTTTTCTCCTAATTTGAACAAAAGGAAAGGTAAAGATAAGAATTTACTGTAACATCGATAATATTCATGAGAATTATTTAAGATCTTCCACACAGACAGAGTAATTTAAGAACCTATTCCCATCGTCTAATAATATTTTTTATTTATTTTTATACTCATTTTTTTGTTACATAGCATTTGTTTGGTAATGTTCATATAATTAATTCTTAATTACTTCGGCACGCCATTTATAATTAATTCTTTGATTACTTTGGCCGGCACGCCATTCACCGTTGGCCTTAGTGGCCATGGTCTCTTTGAAAAGCAAAGCAATGGCATTCCCGGAGATATAACATTTCAGTCCTAACATTAACAATTCTCCTTTCTCTAAGAATAAATATTAAAATTATTAGTGAAATTATTATTTATAAAAAAATTAATTTTTCACATGTAATTTAAATTAATACTTTGATATAGTATATGAATAATAATTAAAAATTTATTATTATATACTATATAAATTCAGTACTTAAAGTTATATATAAGGTTAATTGAGAATTAATTATATAAATGTAGGGATAAAGGACATGTGATTTAATAATAAAACGAGTTTTAGCAGCGCCATTGTGAGCATCATTGCTCTTGTTTCTGTTAACTATTCAGTCAATAATGTACAGCACTAGACCGTCCTGAGAGACCCACGTTTAATTTTTCTTTTTTTTTTAGTGCTTTGCTTGGGAAAATAAAATTTTCCCAAGTCAAATAGGAGCGTGTTCTTAGTGACGGTCCAACTATCCAATTCCAAAAGAGAATATAAGGCTCTATCAACAAACCCAAAAGTAGATTAAATTAAGAGGGCATTAATTGGATATAAGATTCTTCGTGTAGTGGATAAAAAAAATCTTTAACATATTTTGAATAGGGTTTGTTTAATGAAATGCAAAGCATGCGTTTGAAGAAATTAAATTCAAATTTTGGTAGTTGAAAAACACTCAAAAGTAAGGATAAATGGAGGTTAGCCATTGGAAACATGATAAAATGACTATATTTAGGTAAGAGATCCACTTATACATAAATTTTATACATTATATTTATATAAAATTTTGATTATTTTTTTTTACTTTCAATAATTGAGATTTATTATGATTTTTTAGATGAAAAAATTAATTATTTTTAATAAATGTGAATAAATCTTAATAATTAAAAGTAAAAAGATTAATGATTAAGATTCTGCATAAATATGATGTATAAGACTTACATATAAGTAGATTCTTACTCTCATAT